AGCGGGCGAGCGAGAGAGAGAGAGAGAGAGAGAGAGAGAGAGAGAGAGAGAGAGAGAGAGAGAGAGAGAGCAATGAGAGAGTCACCACAATTGGAAATTGATTTGAGACAGTGGCAAACCAGTGACGGTGGTTCACTTAAAGCTCCTTCAGACGACACAACTTTCTATTTCCTGCTACAAATTTGGTAACCTCTTTCTCGCTCTTATCTCCATATCTCCCATTCTTTCTTTCTCATTGTCTCTCTATCCCATTCTCTTTCACTTCCCCTGTTCTGTCACTTCCCCTTTTAAAGCACCAAAACAAAGGGGAGTCCCTTTAATTTGTAAGGTTAATTTTATTGCAACTTACAACTTGTTTTTGACATAATGTTCGAACAAAGTTCCTAGCATAATCCCTTTAAAGCACTGAATCAAAGCTTACGACATTATTGTGCTTATTCTCCTTCTCATGATCTCTCTCCTGAAACATCATTGTTTTCCACCGTAAGGAACAAAAAAAAAAACTATTTTTTGGGGGCTTCCCCTACCCTCACTCGGTGATTGGCAACTTCCCTGATTTGGCATTGCCAATTCAAAGCTATACCTGGGTATTTGAGTATTTTTGGCATCGTTGCCTCCCTAATTTGGTTTTCACGACAAGATAGTGCATCGTTTGGGTTTCTGGGTATTTCTCCTTGATTCATAGCCATTTCTCTCTTTCTCGCTAGTATTTTTTTTTGGTTTATGGGTATTTATGGGTGAACTTCTTCGGCGACCTCCCTGATTCACAACCACTAATAGAGGTCTTATGGCAGTCTAAGAACGATGCGACTTCGATTTGCAATTAATTTTTCATAATCCATTAATAGAGGACTGCAACGCCATCTCTCTGTGTGTGTGTGTGTGTTTTATGGGTTTTTGGGTATTTATGGGAGGAATTATTTGGTGACCTCCCCAATTCAAAGTCATTAACAGAGTTCTTATGGAAGTTTGAGAACGATGCAACTTCGATTGGTAGTTGATTTCTTGGAATCCATTAAGGCCATATAGTGGGGACAATGAGAGGAGGGGAATGGGGATGCAAAGGGTAGTTTATGAATTAAAAAAATAGCAATCACGTGATATCACATGTGAACGGAGTGTAACGAAAAATTAACAACAATGAAGGTTTTAGACAATTGTCAGAAACATAATGGGTACTTTAAGACAATATGTAAACAATAAAGATAGAGTTTGTCAATTAGATATGCCATAAGGGTAGTTTAAGAAAATTTCCCTTCTAATTAATACAAGCTTATTAATAAAATATAAAAACATTAGTAATAAATTATTAGTTTCAAAACGTGTATTTGAACTTCAAAATGTGTACTTTAGGGGTTGTGTCAAGTCATTCACAAACTTCAAAATGTGTACTTTAGGGGTTGTGTCAAGTCATTCACAAACTTCAAAATGTGTCTCTGCATACCCTAAACTTTCAAATTGTGTCTAATAGGCCCCTATCTGTCATCAAACATTAACGGATAAGTGAAATGATAGAAATACCCATCGGGTGTCATCTAATTTTTTGTAGGGTAAATCTCTTAAACTACCCCTACTATTAACGGAATTGACAAAATATACACTTAATGTTTACATATTGTCTTAAGTTACCCTTAAGTTTTTTGACAATTGTCTAAAACCTCATTTGCCATTAATTTTCCGTCACACTCAGTTCACATGTGACATCACGTGAGTGGTAATTATTTAAAAATTTCTAAAATACCCTTATTGTTCACCGTCACTTTTGGAAGTTGCAGCGGTGGTGATTTTGGTATCGTTAAGAACTAGCAGTGCTGGTGGGATTGCTAAGAGCCCAGAGACCCCTGCAACACAACTCACATACACCCATTTTAGGATTTAGAGAGAATAAAGAGGTTGGACCAAATGATTGAACAGATACTTTGCAATAAATTAAAACTCTCACCTGTGCGCCCAATTGATGAACAAACATGCCACTAGTAGAGTAACCGATCAAGGCCCCCACTTTGATTCGATCGAAGGCTCCAAAAGAAGGAAAGAGAAGGAAAGGAACGAACAACCAAAGCCCTGCAATCGCCGAGGATGAGGGGCCCTCATTACACTATTTTGAGACAAAATGTTCTTCAAGATATTTCTGAATGTATGGAAGATTTGGTCTTTTCAAGTCCTAGGCGAATCAACATATTTGCATAGATAGATGGAGACAAGGGTCCAAAATACGGACGCCATCACCGACGTTGGAGACAGGATTTCCTTCCAGCAATGGGAGGTATAGAGTCACGAAGATGAGGGGCCCTCATTACACTCTTTTTAGCCAAAATGTTCTTCATGATATTTTTGAATGTATGGGAGATTTTGTTGATGGATCAAAGTTCATTGGAGGCTCACACAGTTTGACGCCAAAAGCTTTTATCAATGTATATGTTGGTACAGAAGACCTGGCTGAACATTTGATTCATGGAGAACCATACACTCTCTGAACTGGGGGTTCAAATTCCTGTGCAACCGGTAAACACCTGCACAAGTTAATGCGTTACATGGTGTACATGAAGATCTTCACCAAGGAAACCCATGATGGCGAACAACGATATGGGCTGGCTCCACTAGGTAAGTTCCTTGTAAATGGGTGGAACAAGAGCATGGTGTCCCCCTCCACAAAACCCTTGTTTGCATTTGGAAGAAAAATGGAAATTTGGAGTTTTTCATTAGTTGGGTTTTATTTTGAAAATTTGATGAATAGTGAAGGGCAAATTTGGTATTTCATTTTTTCGTTAGTGTTTATCGGGGTGTCAATTGTCATAAAACTTAAGGATAGCTTAAGACAATATGTAAACAGTAAGGATACAGTTTGTCAATTTCGTGAACAATAGGGGTAGTTTAAGAGATTTACCCTTTTCGTTGTCTACCAGTTCCACACAAACTAATTAAAGAGCCGAGCAACTTGAAATAGTAGCGCTTTAGATGCAGTGAGTGGCAAAGAATTGTTGTGTTCGTTAATGTTGAGTTCCCGTATTCTTCTTTTGCATGTATGGGGAGAGGGAGCTTCAACAATTGTTCGGTGTTCGGTTTCATAACCGTTCTCCCCCTTTCATTCTTTTAACACTCAACGAAATGGGTAAAGTTGTCACAAAAATACCATAAAGGGTAATTTTGCCATTTTAAAATTATTTAATGCACATATGGTGTCACATGACGGTGTTGACTAACGGTCAACTAACGGTAGAGACTTATTAGACACAATTTGAAAGTATAGGGTATTGCATAGATACATTTTGAAGTTTGGGGATTGACTTGACACAACCCCCAAAGTAGAGGGTACTAATCAAGAAATTTTCCTAATTTTTATAATTTAATATCCTTAAAATTATATTTAAAATCATAATAAAAGCTAACAAATATGAAAATAATAAATTAAAAAGTACAATTAATAAAAGTAATAAATATATTAAAAATTATTGATTTTAAAATCCGTTTAAAGTATTAACATTAAAATTCTAATATAAATAATAAAAATGAATAAAACAAAATACCATTATAAATTTATTAATAAAATTAATAATGTAAGAATTTTTTTAAATTTTAAATTAACAAAAAAATAAATTTAATATTAATTTATCCATAATAAAGTTCGTGAATCGCACGGATCCCACAAGTGTTCATTATACTCGCTAGACTCATTTTTGTGGCATTACCACATTATATACAGCTCGATTCGGCCGGCGAGAGCGGGATGCGACACGTCGCGAGGGGACTCGGGCCTTCGTCAGTCATGTGACCTATCGAAGACTTGGATTAGACGCTTTCTTCCCTCCTTCCCTCGCTAGTGGAGTCCGTTGACAACTCACAACTTCGGAGGTAATTCGTATTTTTCGTAGTGGGTTTTAATCAAGTATCAACTACGACTTGCTTTCTCAAACAGCACTATCTGGCTATCTCTCTTTTGTCTCAAGTTTTATCGATCGCAGAAACCACCCCCCCTCTCTCTCTGCGCCTAAATTTTCTCTCGAGGGGGTAGATTGGAGTAGATTGGGTTCCCTGCAACGGAAAATGGCCGAAGAAAAGGACTCCACGTCGATTCCTCTAAGTCAATGCGGCGGTGGCGAAGATCCCGAAGATCCTGCCAAGTCTCCTCCAAATCCCCCCAACTCCTCCACTCGAAAGGTTAGTCTGACGTGTTTCGTTGTATCTCCTCTACTGGAGAACCAACCAAGAATATTCAATTTTCCTCTCTTTCTTTTCTACAATAAGTATTTTTTTTTTTGTTTTTAAAACACAGGATTTGTATGTTATTCCTATCTTTGAATCTGATAACTTTTCTAAAATTGGAAGGTACCTTATATTCTTAAACTACAAAATATACAATGTGGCTGTATTTTACTTGAGAAGGTATAGAGGCTTCTGGTCGGTTGGGCTTGACCAATCAAAGTGTAGATTTGCTAGGGCTGGGACAATGCTGTTCTAAGATTATTATTGTTGAAAGGTAGAAGGTGAGTTCCCGAAGAATTATAGTCCATGGATTCGCAGGGGTGGTGGTGCACATAAATAGACATTAGAGATACATCTGAAGAAAAAGAGATAAAGGGTCAAGTAGTGGCAGCAATATATCAGTCTGTTTGAAAGAAAAGAGAATAGAATTAAGGCCCAGAAAGCGGAGCTTTTTTTTATCTGCTTACATATGTGCTCATTTTTGGTATTAGGAGCCTGGAGCAGATTATGCTGTTTTTATGTCTCATGCATTTCTAGTACAGGAAAATGATAAGAGTAATAGTATAAAGGCTAAAAAAGTTGACTTGAGAAGGGGGTTGGAAACGAACGGTTAATGCTTCGGAATGTAAAATCAATTCTAATGGTTATTTTTGGGGAACCTAGACCCTCCTTGGGTAGTATTCTTTTGTTTTTTTTTTTTTTTTTTAGAAGAAACAAAGCAACTATTGCCAAAGTATGGCCTAACCACGATAGAGGAACGCAAATGATGCCGAGTTGTTGCTATTTTAGAAGGATAGATTGCCTGTCAGGAAAATGCTAGAATCTTGCAAAATAAGGTGGTGATGTATCTTTGTGGTGTATGAGATGATTTATTTTGGAGTTCTTCATTGCCTTTGTAATTTTGAGATTTTGGAAGATGTATCCATTGGTCTCATTATCACGGTGATGTACTGGTATTGAGAGTGTTGCAAGATGCTAACCTTCCAGAAATCAATTGTAGTTGTGATTGCCTCAAAATAATTCCATTAAATTAAGCTTTGAGGGATAATCTATTGGCAACCTGAATTTTTAGATCAGGGATTTGGGAATCAGAACCTGACATGTATCTGGGACTCTGATCTGGCAAGTTGAAAAATATAGATACTTTGTTGACATCTCCGAAGATAGTTTTTACCATTCTTATGAGGTCCAACATCATATAAATGGTAGAAGCAAATGTGTGTGTGTGTGTGTGTATTTACAGGAGAAGGAAGAATTTGTTATGTATTCTAGATGCCCAAGATGGAACTCAATTGTACCTACTTTTATAGGGGGTTGCCCCTGCCCACCTTTTTTAATATTAAATATAGATGCACTTAGGAGTGGAGACCAAGAGGTAATTCAATGTGACCATTTCTAGTACCTAGGTTCGATAATTCATGACAAAGAAGAAATTGAGGAGGATGTCACCCAAAGAATTAGAGTAGGATGGGCAAAATGGAGGGGTGCATCTGGACTTTTATGTGATAGGCGAATACCACTTAGATTAAAAGGAAAATTCTATAAATGAGTGCGGCAAGAAACAACATGTGCAGAAAATTAATGTGGCAGAATGTGATACTATAAAGGATAGGATTAAGAATGGAGTTTTCTGTAGGAACCTAGGAGTAGCTCCGATAGGTGACAATGGAATCCATTGTCGCAGCCAGAATTGGAATCGGAATCAGAATCAAAATCTTTTTGAATCGGAATCAGAATGGTCTATTTCCATAGTTTGTTTGGTTCAGACAGGATTTGGAATGGGATTTCATTCCCAGTGGAGGGGGAGGGAATGCCCATTCCCTCAAATGGATTCCACCAAGAATGGGAATGGGATTCCGATACCGCCCAACCAAACAGCTGAAGCGGAATGGTCCTTTCCTATTCCAATTCCAAACCCCTATTCCCATGAACCAAACGGGCTGTAAGTTGGTTTGGATACATGCATAGAACACCACAAACTGCGCCTGTTAGAAGAAGTGATTTGTTATGCATTGAAGGGGCTAGAAGAGCTTGGAGTAGACCAAAAAGGACATGGTAGAAGTAGTAAGAAATGATTTAAGCACTAATAAATAGAAAGGATTGGCGAAACAGGATTTATGTAGCCAACCCCATATAGTTGGGATAAGGCATTGAATCATGGTTGATGACGATGATACATTTATCAAAAATTTGTGCGTTTTCTCATACCAAACTTGCAAGAAGAGGAATAATGCCATATGCAATGTGCCCCTCGAGAGTGTTGAAATTTGATATATGCTTGACAAAGAAATTATGTCTTTTTAGGTCCTTTAGGAGGGACAATGTAACACTACAGATTGACAGTTTCTATGGGCTTTAGGAGATTCTCTGGTTATGACAGATTGGATGGGGAATGGATTTGAGTGACTTCTGGAGAGCTTATGGTTGAAGGGGATCCTCATAGCATAATGGATTGGGCAAAGTCTAGGCCTAATTTTGGAGGTTCTTGTAACATTCTTATTGATTATACCACTCTTTTTGTATAATTAGTAAAGTTTACTGTTGAGCAAAAGGGGAAAGGTTATGGAAGAGGCAGGCTATTCCAGCAGTTATCCATTGGAGTATTTGGAGGGTGAGGAATGCCTATTTTTTTTGAAAATTTACACAGCTCTGAGGAGGCAATAGGAAAGAGAGCAATTGGTACCTTGTTCTCTTGGCTGTCTGTTCATAAAGATTTTAATGGAGTACCCCATAATTTTTTTTGACCAATAACAATGAATTTTATTAATGATTGAGAAATTCAGAATTACAAGGGAAGGTGCTAAAGAATCTTAACTCCCTACTGTCCAATGTACACCCAACCATAGAACAATTACGAAACAGCCCAAAAGATAGAGCTTCTATTCACCCCCTGCTTAGCTAGCCCATCGCCAATGCATTTGCACTTCTTTTTATCCATGTACACTGAATTTCCATGGAGTACCCCATAATTCAATTGTTAAAGTGGAGACTCTGTTTATAAACTAGCAAGATTAACTGGGTTACACGGTTATATGGTCCCACTAGAGGGATCTTTAGTGTACATGGGTTTACACTTTGATACTTTGCCTTAATGAATATATTCACCTTCTAAAAAATTAAGAGAGGACATATATATCAAAATAAGAAGAGAGCTCAAACAAACATCCTGTATACATGTGTATATATGGTGTAAATGTGACTTGGCATTTTCTCTTTTACTTCATTGCCTTATTTTTCATGTTGATATGGAAAACTGGCTAATCACATGTTTATGCTATTGATCTTGCACTTCATCAGGCTTGCCTTGTTGTTCTTCAGAGTTGGGTCTCAAAAAAGTTCATGACTGGATGGTAATAAGTGCAGTTCTTTGGCATTCATTACAGTTTTTTTCCCCAAACGTTGCTTAAAATTATTTATCAAGAAAGAAAAGCCTAACTTCAAATTTTCATATGCAATTGCAGTGTAGTTCTTTTTCCTGTTGCAGTTACTTTTTTTGTTACATGGTGGTTTATCCAGTTTGTTGATAGTTTCTTCAGTCCAATATATGCCAGGCTTGGCATTGACATATTTGGTAAGTTTAGCTGGGATCTTTTGCCTCTTGGAAGATATATATTGTGACAAATGGTTCTTGCTTTGCTGATCCAAAAAAATAAAGCTCTCGCGTCCTTTTCTTCATTCTAGGCCACTTGAACTAACAATGTTTTGTTATAAATTGGGCTCAATTTAATCAATTTAAAAGGAGATGCTAATCTAGTTCTATTGAATCTACGTGGGGCTTTGAGTGGCTGTTCTAATATGTTATTGGGGAAATTTTCCACATGTACTTTGGTGAATGAATATGCATTCAGTTCTATGATGGGGGAGTTGTGGTTCATTATAATTTTGATGTTTTACTCCATATTGGCATTGACCTATCATGTGTACCTTGGTATCTATGTATATGTAGGATCTTTACCATGCTGATGTTTAGCCTAAAATGGGGAGTTATGGTTCATTATAATTTTGAAGTTTTACTCCATATTGGCATTGACCTATCACCATGGAGAAAAAAAGTCATTTCACATTGCTAATTATCATTTTTTTTTAAAAATTGGTTTAATTCCATGAAGTTATTCAAAATCAATTTTAATTGTAATACATGCTTGCTTTCTATTTCTTTGATGCTCAAATTCCTCATACTTTCTCTTCATATAAAAACCTTCTAAATAGACTGCTTTGTGTCATTTTCATCTACACAACTTTTGTGGGACTTCGAGTATTGTAGAGGGCTTAAGTACCATGAAGCTGTAGGGGCCATTCTCTTGCTAGAAATTTTAAATGGTATTTGCTTTTACCACAATGAAAATGATAGGAGAATTTAGAGGGTGAACTATCTTGTATTAATCCCCTGCACTTTCTTATTTAGGGCCATAACTTTAAGACATAAGTCCCGTCAAGCAACCAGTCAAAGCAATTTGGTTGGGCCTACACTTCCCAAAATTAGAGCTTTCTGCTGGGAAGTATGCCATTTTTTTGATAAATGAAAAAAGAAGACCAATACTAGTAAAACTCCGCAGAAAAGAAGACCAAATTGGCATTTGTCGCCAAAAAAGCTACTTCCTCTGCAAGGCTAGCTGTGAAACCACAATTAATTTATTAATCCACTATCTCTTTGAGCAGTATTTGGGAGCATTTCTTTAATTAATTTGATTGTAGGTTGCTCCCTCAACAGAGGTGGATGCTTTGTTCTAAACTAGCTTCTACTCTCTTGGAAGGAAAGGGGGGAAATGTTATGGAGATGCATGTGATCTGCTATTCTGTGGATGTTATGAAAAGAAAGAAATACCAGAAATTTTCTAAACAAAAGCCAATCTAAAGATACAATAATATGATTGAGATTGGACCGACTAATTTATTGGATCAAGATTCTAGAGGAGTTTTCGTGCTTCTCTTCAGATGGTATCCTGGAGGATGGTTAGTAGTGGCATCTAGTTCTATGGAAAGTGTAAAAGTGCATATCTCTTGGTCCCCCCCTACTCCAAGTAACATTATCAAGTCGATCCAGGAGTAACATTATCAAGTTGATCCAAACATCTAATCATCTAGGTTAGTGAGATGATTTATTTCTTTTCAATTGGTAAGAAAAATTTATTGGAATGACAAAGAAAAGTGAACAAGGAAATCAAAGAAAAACAAGAAGATCCAATTAAATAACAAGGGGCCAAAAAGAAAGGGGGGAAAATATTGATAAAATAAAAATGGATCATAGAGGGGTGAATAAATTTGATGAACCTTGCTTGCCACCAGTTATCCTCCTAAAACCTCACATTGCCCCCTCCACTAATATCAAATTTGATATATATATATATATATATATATATATATATATAAAATCGACCCAGAACCAGAATTGCTTTGGTCACTGGTGTTGGGTTAGCAGTTTGACCATCCAGTCCAAATAGTTCAGCCTGTGACGTTTTAAAATTTTTAAAAATAAAAATTGGCCTGAAAACTGTAGTCTAGATCGAATGGGTTGACAGTTCGACTGCCTGGGTCAGTGGGGCACTGAACGGTCAAACTGAACGGGAAAATAACAGTTTGGGGCTGAACGTGGATCCCTGGCTGGTTTCCGGACCAAATGGTCTGACCATCCGGGTCAACAGCGATTTTAAAACCTTGCTATGTTTGAAAGAGAGGTTTTTGTATCTAAGATTTAAGCTCTACTTCAAAGATAAAACATATTGAGGATTTTATTTTATATTTGCAGGCCTTGGGTTTGTCACATCTTTACTCTTTGTGTTTTTTGTTGGGGTATTTGTTTCGTCATGGATGGGTGCCACTGTTTTTTGGGTTGGAGAATGGTTTATAAAGCGAATGCCCTTTGTCAGGCATATATACTCAGCCTCAAAACAAATCAGTGCTGCTATTTCTCCAGGTACCATACCATTATATTTAACTATTTTATTGATTATCCAAATTTGGTTTCTTTAAGGCTTTTACATGGTTCATTTTTATAACTCCTACCAAGTGCCAATTAATCCACTGACTTCATATCAGTCTTGGATGCTTTAGGAACTGCAGAATATTACTATTTGTTGTTTGATGAGATACATTTTAATTCTGACTCTAAATTGTTGATTGAGTGGCTGCAATCTGGTAAGTTGGGAGCCTGGATTTATAGACAGCCCATAAGGGAAATCCACAATACAACAAGGGAGATCGGTGCATGCTTCAAATGGACAAGGAGATCAGCTACTGGTTTAGCTGACACGTTGGCTAAACAAGGGAATGTGAGGGAGAGTATGTTCTGGGCAGTTTTGTAAGAAAGATAACTGGGGCTCAACACCTACTTAGGGGTTGACAGCTGTACTTAAATCTGGAAAGTTATTTTAAAGTTATTTAATGAAGTTACCATTTCCAATAAAAAAAGAAAAAGATAAATTTTAATTCTAATGCTTTTCATTCCTATGAATGGTTGTAATCATAATGTTTTCTGTTGAAGGGTATTTATATACTTATCTATGTAACACAGTGACAGACTTTGTTGTGATTTCCATTGATATATGGCAGAAGTATTAGTACCTTGCTGGCATACCTGATGCTTCACTGGCATTATATGGCATCTGCCATCCATTCAGCCAATCAATGTATACTTTGACCTCTCAAGTCTATGGTGAAATGGATTTGACCTCTCAAGTCTCAAGTCTTAAGATGCAAAACACTGTAGCATTGTGTGGTTATATAAACCAAAGAAGATCCAAATGAATGTAAAAACTATTTCAGAGAAATCCAACTGTTGGTAGTGAAAAGTTATCACAACCCGCTTAGGTCATCTTAGAACCTTGGATTGGATTTGTTGAGAATGATCAAAATTAGTCAGAATGCATTTTTCCTTTCTAATGGGTTCTCTGAGTTTGAACCATGAAAGAAGCACACACAAATGCACTTCTAGAGTCTTTTGAAGATCTTGAAGTTTCACTCCTGGGATACGTCCATGTGGATTATGTTATGGACGCCTTCCTCGGGAAGACGTACCATCGCCGTCGGCAGCAACAGGCCCCGGGCCCACCGCCAGCAGCAGCAAGGATTCAGTGATGCTCATCCTACCCAGTTCGGCAACAGCAGCCTTATCTAGATTAGATTAGCTCATTTTGCCTGTTCTTATCTTATTGTTCTTATCTCT